CTGTTTCTTTATAAAACAGTGTCTGAGCATGTTAAACCTCAGTTGTAAAACTTTTAGCCAATCCTTGTCAAAGGTGTCAATTTCAGTACCATGTTATTCCAATCGCTGTATTTCATGTTTGACAAATCAAAGGATGATAAGCTAGGCACGTGACGAAATGTTGTTCTCTGGATTTTATGATATTAACGTGAAAGGTGCTTATTGTAGTAACTACAATTTCATGTAGAGGTTGTACTTAGTATTGGTGAAAAGTACTTTTTTATAAGCCTTAGAAAATTTCCTTCTGGAAAAAACTGCATGGGATGTATGTGACTTTTATTATTTTTCTATAGTAGCTTAAGTCATGATATATCGTATATCTATTTATATTAATCATTATGTTGAAAAATATAATGGTCTTTACGTGAATTAGCCTGAAAGAGTTTGTGATTTTTATATTATTTTGCATTTAAATTAGTAGTTTTAAGTTCAAGAATTTAGCATAATTTTATATTTAGTTCATAATAAAAATATGATTCAGTATTTAGAATGATAAACTTGAGTTATTTGTACGTAATACTACTAGTACCACATAAGAACTTTATATTTTTCCTTCTTACAATCTTTACTTTGTAGTAAGACTCACACATCTGTTGTTGTTGTTGTTTTAGAATTAAAACAGTCTAACTGATATATATATATATATAAAGTTTATTGATATTTTGCAAATGGTTTAAAACTCAGTATACAAGTGACAACAATACAACCTATATGTTGGTTTTGAAACAGACTAAATACATTTGTATCAATAATACAGGGGAAGCTATGACATTCTCACAGTTGGGGTCTCAATACACTGAAGAGCTTAAGTTTCAAATTCCAACATAAATCTTGATTATAATGAGAGGAATGTGACCAGCACTAATCTTTTAAATGCTGTAAAGTAATTTTCTTTGTAATTTATGGTGTCTGTATCGTTTCGTTATCTCTTGTAACAGGATGTGTCATGTAACTAGGGTCAGGCAGTGTTATTCAAACCACCTGTCCTGTAAAGTATTACACGTTCACTAGTAGTGGCAATTAGTTTAGTCTATATAGTGAAACAACATACAAGGACATATGTTGAAATAAACTTGTTGGAAAGTTTAAAGAAATGATATTCAAGCACCGAAAAGCTTTCTTACTATCGTATCTACAGTAATGTTCAAATGCACCTGTGCTGGACTGAACAAAAGTGACCACCAACAGGCATGATAGTTTACAGCATATGTACAAAGTTCATGCTGCTAACCTCATGATTTATTTGGCACAATAAACAAAAGTATGGCTGCAATGAAATATAAACATAAACTTGAAATAAAAATACATTTATGAAACAAATTAAAATGTTTTTTACGTATATATATATATAATATATATATATAACAAGTGAATTCCGTGGTTAA